GCATCGAGATCTGGTAGAGGTTTGCCTGATTGTCTGCTAATAGGAGCTTCCATTTTGCGCTCTAACCCGAGAGAGAGACCTTCCTCGAGTTTATCATGCCTGCAGCAGTCACTGCATGTGTTCTTTGCCTTCTCTTCTCTTCCGAGCCTGCTTTCCCTCGTTCCAAGACTCAGAGAAACAAGTTCAGATTCTTCAGCGTCAGAATCGAGAGGCTCCTTCACTTCTTCCTTCTTGCCGATTCCGAAGTAGTGCATTTGAGTGGGGTGGGAGTTTGTCACGCTTCGGGCAAGGAATTCTTTCAGTCCCTCGCTTTCTGCTCCAACCCCACCTATCTTCACCATAGTGGATTCCATATGGTCCTCCTGTAATCATGATATTGTTTGCAGATAAGCTGATGAGTAATTCTGATACATATGTATAGAGAAATTTATTTGGATCAATGAATTAAAACACTTCTTCTTGTTGGTTTCACCCAAAATATTTTCACAAGATTTTGATCTTGATAAATCTAATTTTGGTGGACTACAACTTCATGTCTTGTTTGCCTTCAAAGACCAAAAACTTGATAGCCAGTTTTACCTGACTGCTACTATTTGGATCCTCCTTACTGGGAGAAGATGGCTTTGATGACTCCCTACTGCAGATCTGTGCTTCCACATCCAACTGCAAGAACATAATCTTACATGCATAAACGAAAAGATAGAATAATTCGAAGAAAGATCAATCGATTGATCTGAAATTGCAAATTATGAAGAACATCAATCGATTCTTATTCGAAAGATCACAAGGAAGAAAGAAAAGAAAGCCTACAGCGCACATAGTAGCACAAGAAACCAACAACAGAGAAAGAAGAGGACCTGACCTACATCTTCGGTTTCTTGGTCCCTTCTGCCACCAACACCTTCAACCTTCATCTTCTCAACCACCGCAGCCCTGCTCAACATTACTCCTCTCGGAAGAGACGAAAGCTCCACCTTCTTCCCCCTCGTTCGCAGAAGCTCTCCCCTTTTGCCTTTTTGTCATTGCGGAATCCTCCTCCTCATATAGAGAGGCAAAGCCTGCTTATTTTGACTTGGACATGGAGTTGTAAGCCCTTGTCCTTATCTCTTCTAGCTATAGCTAGGCCACAATGTCAACAGCCCAAGTACAGTGCAGGAAGCAGAAAAATACAAAGGATTTCAACGTGCCTGTCATCACGCGCGGTGCTTACTGCTTACAGCCGCAGTCGCTGGTCCCGTTCGTTGAACTTTCTCCATGACGTCCCAATACTAATTCTCACATGGCATTGGCCAGCCTGCGTTCAAACACATCCCTGTCTTGGAATTCCGGCAGATGGGTGCAGTCTTGTTTTCTTTCTCTGCTACCTGCGTGTTTCCTGAATCCTCAAAGGTTTGTTTCATGGTTCAAAGTATCATTTGCTGTGATCCAAGTTCAATGCACCCGAGCTTCATGAATGCTTTCACGGAGGCCACTTGATCTTGGCTTCACTGCTATAAATTACAAGTTGCTACGTACGATGGAGTGTCTTTGTCTTCATGAACATGAACTCAAGGATATTCCTACTCTTCATTTCTTACCTTCTTATTATCTCAGGTACATGAATTTACATCTTGTTTCCCATTTTTTGTTTTTGGTCAGTACAGGTCAGTGTTCTTAAACTTGAAGGGAAGGAAAACATAAGATTATTATGGTCAACAGAGAGAAATATACAGATCATATGGCTGTAGCTATTAATCCTCTATGTATCAGTTTGTCGAAATAATTGTATGACTTCTCCAATAGAGAGTATCCTACCCCAAGCGTTGAAACTTGGCAATGGTTGGCCGACTTGGTTGGAGATTCCATTCCACACTCCAGTTGAATTTTTCTACTTTGATAATGCAATCCCATCACACATATTTGCATACCAAATTCTGAAGGTTTTCAACGCTTACCAATGTCAGCCTTCTTTTTCTGAAATCTGTACTCTTAGCTGGTGTGTCATTTTAAGCGGTTCCTCGTTCCTCTGCACCGAAAGCATCCATCTTTGTTCTTTCTCACAAGCTATCATCGAGTTAGAAGTCAACGTTGTGTTCTCTGCATGCGTCCAAATATTCATGAATATTATAAATGGTTTCTTCTCGATATAAGTCACCCGTTGGCTTGGCTTTATCCAATGCTTGAACGAGTTGATAGATTAGTCAGATAGCTTTCTTCTACACTACACGAATCATCCACGAAACTCCTTTACGTGATGATCCCCACCGGCGTCACGCGCTTCTCATGGCCAATTCCTAATCCGAGCTCTCCTATTCTGCGCTGACTCAAAGACATCAGCTATTACTAGTGGATACGGCTAAACTATAGATAGCTTGTACTCTACACAAGTGACTTGGCGTTTCCATTAACAAAGCAAAGATGAGCTGAGCTGATACGCAAGGCAAAGACAAATACATGAAAAGTCAACGGAAATATTACTAAAATAGAGTATAAGAAATTTTCTTATATTTAAAAAAGTCAACTTCTTGCGAGGCACTAATTACCGGTTGTATCAGTTGACTTGGATTTTGTATCTTATGTTTACCTGTTTCTTTAGTAACAATCTTCATTGACTTTGTGATTATTTAAGATATTAAAACAAGAACTGGGGAAAAAAGAAAAGAAAAGATAGTAATTAGATGGCTTAGAAAGGAAGTTGGTAGTCCAATTTGTAGACCCATACTTTCTCCACAATCATCAAGTGTTATGTTTTGAGTGCAACAAGTGATATGGAAGGTTCAATAAATTCAGCTGGTCCCAGACAAATTTAATGTGGGAGAAGCCAGTAGTCATAGGTTGACTTTGATAAGATTAATTTTAATGGATTGTGTATATGTGTGTATAAACAATATAAATATAACAAAGACATGACAACATACATAAACAACTAATTTACTTGCATGATTTGGCTTGTAAATGAATATTTGGGGGTGGACTTATGACCCATAGTGGCTACTGTGTCCACATTCAATATGACCTCTTCTAACTTTACAGTTCTGTGACATGTGATCCAACAAAGTCAAAGAGTGTACTGCATTGGATGAACACATTGGCTCAGATAAGGACATATGCCTCTCTGTTCCAAACAATGGGCTAACCATCACATCAAAATTAGGTCAACATAACATGCTACTACAGTAAGTCAAGTTTTTTAATTGTAGGCAAGAACTATATATCATCTCAGAGGACATCAAAATAGACAATTCAAGAGGAAAGTCCTCTCAGAGTTAGCTAACCAATTAGTATGAATGATTGTTGCCATATCCAATTATGTGCCATATGTGAGCAACACTTGCAAGTCCAACCTCTAAACCAAATATATATTATTTGTTTTATTTTCTTGGCCATTGTGAGGGAATACAAGAGCTGTGAGTGCTCAGTTCTTTTTACCCTCCATCGAAAGCAGTGAAGTATAATGTATCTTCACCGCTTGACAAGCAATTAGTGGAAGTTTATTGAAGAAGAGAGTACATATGACCGCTCATGGATGCTCTCCTCATCATCTGCTGCTTGACCTCAGCTTCTGTGCCACATAGAAGCCGACGGAGAAGCCTACAGCTACTGCAACAATGACGTTCCTGTGCTTGTTGAAGCTCTCCACCAACCTGTCCACCGTTGCGTTGTCGAACCACTCTTCCATCTCCTCGATTCTGTTCTTCCAAGTCACACCTCGATCCTTCTTCCTTCCGATCTTTGGGTCCTCTCCTCTCAGGAAAGCTTCTTCGGCCTTGGCCTTTGGACTCTTTGCCTTCTCCGACCGGTCGTCTTCTTCCTCTTTCCTACCACAACCCTCTGGTTTTTGTGTTGGGAAGCTCACGGGAGATGATTCCCATCGCCTGTAATTGTCTTCCTCTTTCCTATCACCTCCCACTGGTTTCTTCTTCGGCGAGTGTCTTTCCTTGACCCTATCACCTTCTGTTGTTGGCTTCTCGTGACCGCTCCGTGGCATCTCTTTGGGGATGGGCGCCGCTTCCTTGTTCGTCTTTCCACTCTCCGGCTTCTCTTGCAGGATCGGCTCTTCCTCTTTCTTCGTGTCTTCAGACGAGACGGCCAACTGAGTTGATTCTCTTTCTTGTATCGGCTTCTTTGGCATGACCAGGCTGAGCCAGCCCTGCTCGAACTTGGCATGCACCTTTTCCGTGTCTGCATCTTCAGGAACATGGAAATCCTTCTCCACACGCGCGACCATGGCCTCACCCAGGGGCCTCCTACCCCTCACCGTCAGCTTCCTGGAGTTGTCGTCAACCTGGACCTTAATCTCGTCCGCCCTAAACCCTTAGGTTTCCATGCAGAAGGACGTATCAGAGATATGGATGGTCAATGTGCACGGAAAAGCACTTCCAATAAACTAATAGTGAAACAACAGGAAGCATTGGCTATATTGGATCCGAGGAGAATGTCAATGATCAAATCAAGAGCATGCTTTTGAATGACGAATAAAGAAAGCAAGATCAATAATCTACGTGGATCAAAATACCCGGAAGATGCATGCGGAGGATATGATTATGAGCGGTTTCGATCCGCTGGCTGGGTGGCTGCAGATCGTACTCAACCATCTGCCTCGGCGGCCCCCTCGAGCTATCCATGGAGATTATTCTGAGAGCTGAATCCGTCGGTGTTCTCCGCCACTTTCTCCGGCATCGTTCTATCTTTTATAGTGGCACGTCTCTCCCGCTGGTTGCATCGAGTGAGGGTCATTCCAAACCTCTCCTAGTCTTCTCTTACATGCAAGGGAAAGGAGAATGCTTCCTTGAGCTCGTAAAGGATGCATTTACGATGATTCGCTACTTGACCCACGCGAATCTTTCTTCTTTGCGAAAGATGCCTTCTCGCTCTTCCCAGCTCCCCTGCAACCGTGTGGGTTTGCTTGGGCAAGAAGGGGAGACGAAGTATCAGTACCTTCAATGAATCGGGAGAAAACATGCTACAGTGAATAGAATTAATCTACAATATGGTGTTCCTGCGGATGTTGGCCTTCGATGTTGCAAAATGGGATTTTTCATGCACAGGTTGTATACTGCAAGCTGGACACAATTACAAACAGGAGTCAGGAACGGGAAGCAAGAAACCCAACGGGAAGAACCCACTCACCATTCCAGACCATTGGACTTACCCTGTCAAGCCTTGCTCATCTCAAGTCAATTTAACTATATAACAATAATGATAAATACTTGAACGACGCACCGACTAAATATTCATCAGTTATTTTTCAGATAACTCGCAGAAAACAGTGGGAATACCGATAGGAAACCCTCATAAACTTCTATCCACAGCAGCCTCCATCAGACTCTCACCGGATGCAACACTTGCACCACCACCACGGCCCTTAGCATCACCAGCTGCCAACCTGTTGATACTTTGAGAATATGACGATTGATCTGCACATGGTTATCTAGCATTGGGCTTTGGTGACTGGTGGTATGGAGAAGCATGTGCACCATGTGAAAGGCTCCTCGTGGGCGGCTGGCCATTCCTTCCAAAGGAACCCTGTGGCTTCATTCCGTTTCTAGCACCGACGCTGTTGGAATGGGCCATTGTACGTTCGGTTTGCATGGTCTGGAAGAAGTAGGAAGAGCTCGCCATGTCTTTAAGATTGATAAGTGGTTTGAGGACTTCCACGACCTCACTCATGAGTGGCCTTGCTTTGGGATCCCGACTGAGGCATGCATGTGCAAGCTGGGATGCTTTCTGGGCACCTTTGATGGAGAAGTTGCCTTCCAAACGAGGATCTATAAGCCTGTAAAAGCGACGCCTTTCTCTGAGGTTGGGACGTGCCCACTCCACAAGGTTGTGCTCTCCATTAGGCCGATTCTTATCCATGGACCTTCGGCCTGTCATCATCTCAAGCAGCACCACTCCATAGCTGTATACATCGCTCTTTGAAGTCAAATGCCCTATAAACAAAACAAAAAAAAGGACAGCTGATGATAAGATCCAGAATGTTAGCAAATTTCGGATGCAGGCTACTCAGGCACCAAAACAGTGAAGACTCGTACATATAGGGAAGACATTATTTAAACAAGTAGAGCAACTGAAAACATAGCATGCACCTACAAGTGTGAAATGATAATTGATATGAACATCTGCAGCCTCCAGGCGAATGCATTTGAGAATCATTTTCCAGAACATAAGAAAACCAAGTAAAAAGAGGTCATCCTCTATTCTAATCATAAAATATGAAGATTTGATGGTTTTGCTGATGAAAGCTTCCCAGTATTATTAAACATATGATGCTTAGATGGTTGACTACACATAGACAGAGAACTGTGGCTGTTAGTTATAGAAACCAAGAAAATGTAAAATCAACTTGCAACCGGCCCAGTTATATAGTAAGATGGCAGCAAATGAGAACAGATATAATATTGAGTTCAGGACACTACATAGGTATCTCTAAATCCATAATGAGATCAAATTCAGACTTCTTGATACTAGGACAATATCCTTCAGTAAGATCTCCAAAAATTAATTTCCAGAAAGGAGATGATGATACATTGATGAACTACATGAATATTCACAACCATTTTTATGGTCCAATCAATATCTGCACACTCAGCCCCAGAAGTCCATATATGCTTCATTTATGATGTCTGCTGACGCTCATGGAAGTCGCATCAATTTTTCTTGCTCTAAACCATCAAAAGCATCTTGAGTAAAATAGCAAGCTACAGGCAATAAATACTTTGTAAAGTCTCACGAGCAAAAATATTCAACCACTTGGCAGATCTCCAATAAGATATTTCAAACTATATTAGAAAAAGAACACAAGTGATTAGAGGTCAGCAAGAGCACACTGAAACAATCCACTTTTTCATCGAAAGAACTCCTTTACCTTCCAAGACATTGTTTTCATTTACACGAAATTAAATGGAAGCCAAAATATATTTCAAGCAATGAAAATGCAGCATACAAATCATATGATATTATAAGATGAGGATGCTGCCTACACTGTAGAGACCAGAATATTGACCAACCATACATTTATTAAATAGTAGAGACCCCGAATTAACCAAAATCTGACAATGTCCAATCAAGGTGACATGATATTTTAAACACAGGTCAGAAATTTTAAACAAAATTCAATAAACAAGAGCAAAGAAAATAAAGACAGCATCAAGTTGCAGCAATTAGCCATGGAACAGTTCAAAATTCAAACATAACTAATCATCTAATATGCAAATAAAACAGTTAAATATAATGTCTAAGATTTGCATTTACAAGGAGAAGTAGCTCAATGATGTAATGACCTGTCATAACATATTCTGGAGCTGCATATCCATATGTACCCATCACTCGGGTAGACACATGAGTTTTATCACCATCAGGAGCATCTTTAGCAAGCCCAAAATCTGAGAGCTTGGCATTGTAATCCTGGATGCTGGAATTTGAGAAATAACTCGATACAAATAAAAATAATATATATATATATATATAGCATTTGTTACCTACCACATCCAACAGAACATTAGATGATTTGAAGTCACGATAGATCACTGGTCTTTCAGCCTCCTCATGAAGAAAAGCAAGACCCTTTGCTGCACCGAGTGCAATTTTCATCCTGATGGACCACGGTAGAGGAAGGGCTCCTGTTGCAGACAAGGTTAGCAATAGAAAAATCTACAACATAATGCTTCAAGTTCAACATATAAACAAGTAAAAAGTAGCAGCTTAGCATGCAAAATGCAAAAAAAATGAACTGCAGATTTCCATGAGACTAGATGAAGAAAGTGAAAAAAGGTAAATGAGCAAGGTAACTCAGCAGCAAAATTGGACCAAGGGAAATTAACTAAATCATAGCAACAATAATTTAAAAAAAAAGCAAGGATGAGAGACTCAGGATCCATTATAATTATGACAACAGCTTGTAGATCAAAAAGACTAATTAACAGTAATTAACCGGACATATGAATTTCATTGCATCTTGCACCACAAGAGTGTCCTATCATGTTGAGAGAGACAGACTAAGTTGCGGGGGTCAGGCAACAAATGAAAAAACAACCAAAACAGATTCTAAAATTAATTCAAAATTTTCATGAAAAAATGATTTAGAAACAGTGATTGCAAAAGGCGCTCGGGCGCTCGCCTAGGCGCTCGGGCGAGGCGAGGCGAGGCCCGAGCGCCTCGCTAATGTCCCAGGCGGCGCGCTTCAAACAGGCGCCGCCTGGGCGCTCGCCCGAGCCTAGGCGCTGGGCGCTTCGGGCAAGCGCCTGGGTAAACCAAGGCGACCGAACCAGAATTTTAGGTCTGGTTCGGCCCTGGTTCGATTGTTAGTTGGTTCGATTGAACCAACTAAACCGATATAACCCCAACCCTAACCCTAACTCTAACCCTAACCCAACACTAACCTACTGCCACTGCCGCTCTCGATCCCGATCGCGATCTCGTCGCTCGCTGCCGCTGCTCGCCGCTGTCGCTGCTCGTGCCTCCT